CATCCACAGCGCTTTAATAAACACCAATGTAACGTAATCAATGGTCAGCTGACTCTTTGGACAACCCATTTGATCAGAGGCCTTTGGCAGAGCATCTGTAGATAACTATTATTTTGCAGTATTCAATGTGTCTTTCTCCTGGGTTTACTTGTAGGGACTGGTCCCTTACATTTGTTTTTTCAATCCACCCTTGAGGGAAAACGCAAAGAGAACATTTATTCCCAATCAAGCTTGTAGCAACTAGCTGCCTTTCTGTCTCCATATCTTCAGCGTCCTGCATGTCTTGTTTTCCATCTTGAAGCTTCTTGCATTACCGTCTCTGCACCTTATTGCTCACTTACTTTTTTGTTGGTTTCTGCACATTTTGGTTAACCTGGATTTAGGTGACCAGTGTAACAGTTTAGGGTCTCAAGGTTTAAACCTCAAGAAGTACCAGATCAGTTGAGTATCACACACACTCAAACAAATGCACACATGCCAACAAATGAGGTGCAAACACTTGCATTCACAAATGCTCATACACAAACATGCCAGAAAGACAGAGGTATGCTCTCTCATGCTATCTCTTGCTCACATACTTTACACGTATATGCACAGCAGTTACAAAAACACTGATTACAGCTTGCACGCTGTGGTCTTGTTACTTGTAGGAATATGAAAAACGTATGCATTTAATTAGCTTGTTTACTGGGAGGTTAACTGAAGTATTAAAACATTCTTTACCAGTCATCTCAGAAAACAACAATATCAATTAAACAATTAAGGTTAAGATTAATGAATATACCTGTAGACAGTTTGGCATGCAGTGCCAGTGTGCTGGCAAAACCTTTTATTTTCAGAACTGAGAGAAACTGGTGTATTTTCCCTTCTAAGGGGGAAAAACATTGGTTTACAAGCTAATGGTTTAACAAGCCATTTCACTCTGCACAGTAAAGACACACATGCCACTACATGTTACATGTGTGTCCATTTAGGCATCATTGCAAAACAACTGACCATGTCCTTGAAAACATTTAAGAATGTCTTACAAGTGATGCAGACCTGCCAGTTCTTGCAAAGGGATCATAACATAATAAATCTCCTTCAGCAGCGTAATGATGTTTCAGCTCAAATCTGTAGTCCCTTTGGGACCTGCGCTCTATCAAAATAACAGCCACTGTTCAAATAAACTCAACACACAAGTCCAGGCCTGGTGTTTCTTCACAGGCAAGAGCTATTCTCATGAAGATTAATGTTTTCTTTTTTTCTTCTTTTGAGTGATCTGATATTAAACAAGTATTTATCAAGGATTGTGATATCTGTTCAGGTTCTGAATAGCCGCATAATCATTTGGCATGTCTTTCTTTCTACGCAAGATGAAATCATTAAATTAGAAAGAAAAGAGAAGTCTTGATTGATTTCTGCACAATTTCTTATTAAACACAATAGAGAGGATCAGCTGAACTTTGGTTTGGCAGCCATTGAAGCCTACCGGTGGAAGAACCCAGCAGGGATAGAGCAGGTTTCTCAACTTTGGCATCAGGTCATTGTCAACATATAATAGGAACATGCATACACACACACCCTGTCATTTAAATGCATGTGCCCGCAAGAAGAAAGACACAAGCTTGCATAAACAAACACGCACATGCAATTCACACATTGTGTTGTCACCATGAGAACAAATCTGCTCATAAACTATTTATACATGTAGAAAGGGAGCTGAAGAGCATGTTCGCTTGAATCAATGCACTAGAAGCTGCTCTATGCATGCTAAATGCAACGTACAGATGGTGCTCCAAAGGGTAGAGAGGAGAGGTGGGAGCCTTCAAAGGAAGCTTTCTTTTTCCCCCTGAAAGTGAGCGGTATGTTTGGATAAGAATAGAACCGCATGACTCTGGAATAGCACCTTTTTACTGCACATCTGTTTACTTTGAAAGTGTATCTCTTGCATTCTTACACTTGACTTGGTGACTTCATCACTTCCCTCAGGGCAGGGAATATACGTATAAGTGAGTGAGGACGCTCAACAGGATTTCTCTCTGCACGCAAGCAGCAACTGGTAAGGGAGGGTCTACGTTTGACCACAGTCTTATCTGGTCTGGGTATATCTTAAGGTTTCTAACAAAACATTCAGGCTATGTGCAGTCAGAAGCAATCGCTGTAATCTCTGTAATTAGAATATGGAGCCCAACTATTCCAATGATGGGTCTCTTTTGTTGTTTTTTCAGTCAATGTGGAAAGAATAAAAGCTTCTGCACACATTCTCCACATCAGATTTGACATTTAATAGCTGAACTTTCTGTCAAAGACCGTCTTTAAAGCATGAGAAACCGCTGTTCCCAGACTACATCCTCTTTTATACCAGAATATTCCCCAATAAAAGGGCAACAACCAGTTATAAAGCTGTGTCAAATAAAGTATTCATTTTCTTCTGTTATATATTTTTCACGTTCCAATTGTATAAAATATGGAAAATAAAAAATCTACATTTTTAAGACTCAATTGAAAAAAATAACTAACTGGATGTGTGGAGTTTGAGATATATAAGTATTTACTTAGCAAGAAAGATCAACGACTGGGTTATGCTAAGGAAAATGTAGGACTCAGTGATGATGGGCTTGAGCCACATGGCGCTTTCACAAGCCAGCATTAAGTCCGTTTTAATCAAACTTTGTTGTGGTTCAACCCCTTGTATGGCTTGTTTGGGCAGTTGTGAAAGCAGTCCTCTGATATGGACCAAAGTAACTGGTCTGAGATAGCTTGTGGTCTCCTTTTCCAAGTACCAACTTCTGCAGAAGTCCCATGTTTGCTTGACATCTGGGCAGAAGACAACATACAAAAGTCTATGAAAATAGTGACCTTAATTACAAAGTTATTTAAGATAGACGTGCATAACTAAATCTCTGCCTTCAAAAGGCATAAGGAACAGCAAGATATCAAATGTTTTACGGTTCTATATCAGGACCTAATGCAGCATGTTGTTTTTTATGACCATTTTTCCTGATTCCTTTGTGGCTAAAAGATCAACAATAGTGTAATCTTCAATGAGGAAGCTGTTATTCTTGTAACCTGTTCAAAATAACTCATGGACAAAATAATGATAATCACGGGAATATACTGTAGGTGTTCCCATAGGAAGAAAACGAATGACTCTGAAGTAACCCATAATATGCTAGCATACAGTAACTAACGGATGCATCATCATTAGCATGCTTACGAGTGATAAAATAAACATGAAATGGTTCTCTTACCAAATACACTGCTTTCATGTATTTTATTATTTATCACATTAAAGCCCCTTTCAATATTATGGTCTTTCATTATTGTCTTACAAATATTAAGTTATCCACAAAAATAAAATAACTTAGATAATAACCATATTAAAACATAAAAATACATACATACATACATTACATTTATGACATGAAACAAATGCATATTGCTGATATCTCCCAGAGTTTTCCTGGACACAGTTCTGTATGTGCAAACTACTTATCAGAATCAAAATAATCCGTTATACTGGAAACACAATTCCATATTTTTTTTCATCCGCTTTCAACACAGAAACATATTTGCCTGAAATAAATTACACCGTCTGATAAGGAGCCTCACTCATACACTTTTCTTGAGACCAAATATGATCTTCGAAATGTGCATAGACAGGAATCATCTTTGTTTTTTATATACTTTGACATAGACATCAGAAAATCCCTATTTTCACACATGGATGAAGTGTGTAGAAGGTGAGTGTAGCTATATCACAAGAAGCTTACAGTGTCGCACACAGTACATTACATCACAAAACAGGAAACACTTTGATTGATGGCAGCTTAGGATGTTTATAGTGTGAGGAACCGAAGCCTGTTCATGTGCGCTCAGTTTCCTGAGGCACTTTAACTTTATTGATTGTATTTGTGCAGCATCATTCAGTTCTATTTACAACGCTGTTAAGATCATGCTGAAGATGAAAACGCTACTTGTTAAATGAAAGTCTATTGTGCATTGTACTCTTGACAGTCCTCTTACATTACACACCACACACAACACATGGAACGTTTTTGTTAGATCTCAAGGAAGGACAATATATCTGTGCTACGAGGCTAACCTTATTGTGCATAGAGTTAGTGCTTGTACTTACTCTGTTGGAAGCTGATTTGTGTGGATTTTATTTCAACACCCTCTATTAGAGGGAAGGAAATGGTTTCAGTTTTAAGGGTCTTATATGAGGAATCGTACCAGTCATGGGACTTGTGTGAATGCATTTTTTGAAGGGTGTCATCACTGTAAGCAGAGTTACACATTATGCATACAACATAGTAACATTGACTGATACATCTAGAGTGTCAGTTGAGGCAGACAATCCGCTGCTGTATTTTTTGGTGTAACATGATAGTTGCTCTAAACATTGAAACTTCTGAACTGCCCTTGAACAAGGCACTAAATCCTTAAGTGCTCCAGGTGTGTTGTGCTGTCAAATCCTTTGCATTGTGAATCCTGATGTGTGAAAAGGTCTATAGTTGTCTCAGCCCTTCCACTTTGTATACTGCTGGTGCTATGAAGCGTTATTATTTTCTTTCTGCATGCAATCTACTGCTTACTCTCAACTTCCTCTTTGCTCACCTGAATATTACGCAGCTGTATGTCAACATATGCTGATGACGCAACAATATTTTGTTGTTTTTTGAGCCCAGATTTCATATTCAGAGCTTTCAGATAGTTAACCGATATAACTATGTTCCTTTATCGCAAGGAGAAGACATCCAAGCTCTCTGAGTTGTGGCAGCTTTAGGCAAACCCTGCATGTGCACACTCTTAACCAACATGCACATCTATCTCTCAGCTTGCTCAATCGCTTCACACTCTGTCCTCGCTCTTCTGGAAAACAGCAGTCCACCGCGAAAAGGTATGGGGCACATATATTACAGTCATATTCCCCTTTCAAATTAATAGTCTTGATTTTCAAAAGGGTCTCTTTTTCTTTGTTTTCTTTCGTGTGTACAGTCTTTTAGTGTGTTTCTTCATTTACAGACACTGACCCACTCTGTTATCCTGCATTCTTCGCACACCACATAGCAGCACCAATGGAACTTGCAGTTGCAGCGTTCGCTCCGCGTCTGCTGCAGGATGTTGTGGCCTCTCCCGCAGCACAGACTCTCACAGTTGTCCATGCCGGGGCTGGTCTTGTTGCAGATCCGACCCTGCGTTCCTGTCGAGTCCGACCCCAGGTCTCGCTCGCAGAAATCTGGGGACTTTTCAAAGTAGACCAGTTCGTTGACGCTTGGCCGCCGCCGATGTGAATGGTGGTTGTGATTGTGGTGGTTGTTCTGATGATGGTGGTGGTGGTGGTTGTGGTGATTGTGATGGTTGTGGTGGTTGTGGTGGTTGTTGTTGTGATTGGAGTGGTCGAGCTGTCCGGTGTTTCGGTTGTGAGCCTTGATGAGCGTGGCGATGTGGAAGCGCTCTTTGAGGATTGAGCCCACCACCCGGAACTCTGGGGTGACCTGCCAGCATGTTTTCAGCTGGCAGCTCCCCGACGTCCCGTGGCACTTGCATTTCCTTCTCATGTGGTCGAGCACCACCTGCGAAAAAACACAGATGGAGACAGACAAAAAAGAGAGAGTGGGATGGAGTGAGGAAGTGAGCAGAGGCGAGGATGTAGAGGAGGGGGATGGAGGAGGTGAGAAGAAAGAAAAGGAGAAGGATTAATGGCTCTCTTGATTACTTGCTACCTTTGAAGTTTAATATATACAGGCTGTTGCAGACTGCATGTCATAATTCAAACTTGATTTTTTTTGGGGGGAATTTGTTTGTTCTTTTAAGCACTCCACAGTATAGTGAATGACACATAGTTCCCTGAAGGAATATTGGTCCCGCATTTAACAAGCCAGGTGGTCTCACTCTGAGCCTGTTGGCAAACATACTGATATCAAATAACACCGACGGATGCAGGCATTTCCCAAACAGACAGTAGTGTCATTATTCATTTTTTGGCATCAAATAATGACTCTGCATGACACACATGTAGTGGCACATTGGAGCACTAAAGTATTTCTATTATTATATTTTCACTTATAGTTTTAATGCTGTATACATAACAGAGTGGTTCATCAAACTGCTTTTGCTGTAGGCCCTGTACTAGCAAAGTACTACAAAGGTCTAAAAAGATGTTGCGGATGTCTATATAAAAAACTAAACTAAACTAAACTTTATTATCATCGTCATTAAACATTGCAAATATATATGAAATTTAGCCTCTGCATTTAACCCATCCCCAGACAATTGGGAGCAGTGGGCTGCTGAGGAACTCCCGGGGAACGATTCAAGGTTCTGTGTCTAGTATATATGAATAAATGAGCCAGCATGAAAACAAAATATTCAATCAGAGCAAGATGACCACTGCAATACCTATCCAGTACACACACACACACACAGGTACATCCCACATGGCTTGAATCCTGTCCATCCCGATGATATTTCCTCAAGGCCATGTGTATGTATTTGTGTGTGCGTGTGTGTGTCTGCGTATGCTTGTCAGTCATCACCTGTTCTAAACTTTAAGATCCAATTACCAACAGGAACACTCAGGCCACCCAGACTACTGACAGATGCTGCTGCTGTTGCCACCCCTATCAACACACACACACACACATACACACACACACACACATGCTGGACACTTGCACAGTTCAACACATTCCACACATGTGCTAGCAATAATGCTAATCTCCACACACACACACACACACACACACACACAAAACATGACTGTCACCCACACGCTCTCTATCATCCGCCAAGAATGAGACAGAGATGGCGAACCACAGTTGTGACCAATTTAAAGAGATGAGTACAGGAGTGTAGTCTTTGTGTCTGTGTACATGTAAGCATGAAACCTCTACCGTATGTTCATGCTTGTGTGTGATACTTCCTGTACGTGCCTACGGTTGAACGTATGTGTGTGTGTGCAGGAATAATCCTGTAGTCTCCTCTTGCTTTTCCTTCAGAACATGAAACTCCAGGATGCAGATCAAACGGATTATTTCCCTTGTTAAGAAATCAGATAGTCCAACCCCCTTCTGTTATTAAACTAGGATCTCATCCATTAGATAAGCAGCAGTAGGAACGGAAGGATAGAGGGAAAAATAGTGATGGGAGAGATCTATGATATATATCTATTGAGTGCGACAATCCTGTTCCCCACTTCTATAAATTCAGGGTCAATTCGGGGCGGCTGCCAAAAATCAGGTACTTCACTAGTCCTACTTCTTTTTGCTAGAACAAGTTGTTGAGGGCTTGCGTGCTCTGAGGCTCCATTGTATGCTGTGCTGTGGGTTCCCAATTGAGCAAACCATGCAGAGTAAAAACGAAAAAGGAAACATTAATCATTTTTCCTTGTTCTGGAGCATGGATGAGTGGAGAGGTGGATGAGAGAATGAAATAGTGATAAATAGAGCTACTTGACTCATCTGTTTGGAATGAAGAATGAAAAAAGAGAAGCAAAAAAACACTTTTGTTTGTCACAAAGTTGATCAGTCGCAGTCCAAAAGAAAAGTTATAAAATATAATTAAAATACAAAAAAATGAAAGGCAGGGTAAATGTGTTCATAGAGTTTGGGTTAGATTATTTAAACAAAAAAAGATAGGATTATGTTACTATCACTCATCAAATCTCCCAGTAATGTTGTAAGAAAATGAATTGATTGGAATATTGCTGATGCAGCTTTAAATCATTCCAGTGTTGTGTTATAACAATTACACGAAATAATACAAAATCTTTTCAAGAAGCATGCATTTTGGATAAACATGGGTATACTGTTATTGGGAGTGTTGACAGCATTTAAAGAAGCTGTGCTCCGTGGTGAGGAGAGGCTGTACAACTTTATAGTAAACAACATTATAACAGCTCAAACAGCACTTGCACTGAGTTCAGATTGCAGCGTTTGGTTCAGTTTCTAGGGCAGAGGCAACCCCAGAATCACAAACGCGCTGGCCTTAAACACACAGCAAAGTCTGTAATCATAAAACTCTCCAACCCACTTAAACCTTAAAGGGACCAACTGACCTAAGTCATAATTGCATCCACATTGCTTTGAAGGTACATTCACACAGCAGAATAGGGGTTTCAAAGGACAGTAAAACAACAGAAAAAGCAGACAAGTAAAGTGTTATTTCTAATGACATTCTGTCATATTTTGGGAGGGGAAAAAATAAAAAGCCACATTTTTCTGGGAGATTATGGACCACAGCAGCATGACTTTTTTATTTTATTTTTATGTGTATCGGAGTAGAGAAAAAGTTTCCTCGGGGTTTCCTGGAAGCAACATATGGAAATGTTCTCACTAAAACAGTGATGCCTCCAGTAGTAGGCTGCAGCATGTCTGACTTCTGTACCTAATGTTTACAATTAATTGCAGCAAAATGAAATCGACCCTCCTCTGAACAGTGATTGTCCAACCATAGCCTAAAAAGCCTTTGGATTTGTCCACATGGAATGGATTCAACAGCTTGCAGATCTAACGTAACATTAAATTGTTAGCGCGTAAGGCTACCTAGTTTAACTAGTAGCCTACCTACTGTAGCAACAGAGCGTTATTTCCAAGTCCAAGCAGCATATCATTCACAAAATACATTTTTTGGAGCTACAGGTAGTGTAACAAAAGTAACAATAGACAACTAAGACATCTACTGTATAATGATAATAATAATACATATTTCCCCACTGTGTGTACACTGGTTTAGCCAACCTTAGCAGCTCTATTGTGTTCTTTATTGGATATGGGGAAGTTTGCACTAACAGCAAGCACAAATACAAACAGGTAGATATTAGTGGCAGATACTGTAACTAGGCCTAAGGGGTGCAGGTTTTAGAATAACTAATGTAATGCCTTATGTGGAAATAAATGGATAATGCTGCATCCTAAAACTTTGCTTTATTCTATAAGACACAACCTGTTACCGATTGGGGAGGCCTGCAAGAACTTTCTAGAAGTAATACCACAGCAATTAAAAATTAACATAATTCAGCATCAAAGGAATAACATCTGTGAGTTCTGTTTTAGGTTGGATTCATTCGGTAAACACACAAGGCATGCTGCACACCCTGTCCTCTGACTTGGCAGAGCTTAATACAAGTTTGCAGGCTCCGAAAACCTCATCAAAAGAAAATAACTCTGGGTGACAAGTACGTCAAATATTCTTTTCACGTGTAGTTGAAAGGCAAAGAGGTACAATCCAAATCCTCAACAGGTAATAAACAGGAAATATGGAAGCTGTCTGCTCTTGCCATATGAAAAGTGGTCTGTCAGTATGACATGTGAAGTGCTGATCCATCTGACAAAAGAGCTGCGAAACACTAGTTGAGTATGTTTTGTACAAGAGGAGAAAAAGAAAAACATTAACAAATGAGCACCTGATTTATCTTAATCTATTGGAAATGCTATATTACATTTTAAATGTGTTTTCACAGTGTCAAAATAATTGAAAGCTCAAATGCATGACATTGTTTTTGATCTCATAACTTAGAAATGAATTGGAGAAGTGAGCTTAGATCATTCATTCAGGGTTAGAAGATGAGAGTCACAAAAAACATGTTTTTTAGTCTTTACTGATTTAACATAATGAAATACCTATCACTCTTCAAATAGTTTTATAGATGATTAGGTGAAATGTTTGGGATTTTCTGTTTCCTTCCTGTTCCTTCCCATCTGTACCTGGGGGCTATGTCTGACCGTTCCTTGGTCTGTGTTTACGATATCTAACTTGACTGCAGCAGAAAAGGGGAAGATCTTTAGAATTACCTCTGAGGGCACTAGGGCTGGCGGAGGGGCTGGGTGGAGCTGAAGGGGGGTGTACAGTATATGTGGAGGTAAAGGGAGGGGAGAGGGAGAGAGAGAGGAAAAGATCACGACAGGGGGAGGAGGTGATCTTTGGTGATTTCTTTGCTCTCCCTACACCGCCTGATCCACAAACGCTGTTTGTGTGTGTGAGGGTCTGCGTGAGCAGAACAAATCACCTGTCCATCTAGCTGACACTCTATCGAGGCTCAGTCATCATGTCCTGCTGCTGTTAGCGATATCACATTGTAATCAGCAATCCAATCTAACATGTCATCAGCTGTGATTGTCTGGGCAGTGTGACACGGAAATATATACCAATATCGTATGTCTCACACAACTTGATAAAGCAAGATGAAGCAATCAAAAGCCTGCTTGAAACGAACACTTTTCATAACACACTATCAGCTATGTGATGCATGTTTATGTAAAGTTTGAGAAGAATGAAATAGGTTACCATGTCAAACAAGGAAAAGAGCTAATGTTTTAAAGATAAAACAAGTGACAATGATACAGTATATGTCCCACTGCAGTCCTTTGGCTTACATTGCACATACACTGAGGGATGTAATTGCTTCAAAGTCAATGGCGGTCGGACCACAGTTAGAAACAAACATCTGGCACGTTTTAATTGGCTTAGAGAGTAAGACAGAGGCTTCTATAAAACAACCCCAGACAGAGATCAAATACAACATGTTGGTGGCAGATTAGGACAGCAGGCTACATATTACAGTAGACCGGGGAAA